AAGACCATAGACTTGACTATATGGATCTTTGTCAGCAGAGTAATGTCTCTGATTTTCAACACACTGTCTAGGTTTGTCATAGCTTTCCTGCCAAGAAGCAAACGTCTTCTGATTTCATGGCTGTAGTCACCATCCGCAGTGATTCTAGAGCCCGAGAAGAGGAAAGCTCTCACCATTTCCACCTTCCCCCCCTCTAATTGCCATGACAGAATGGGGTGGGATGCCATGATCTTTTTCTTTTCACTATTTAGTTTTAAGACGGCTTTTTCCACTCTCCTCCTTCACCCTCATCAAAAGGCTCTTTAGTTCCTCTTCCTTTTCTGCCATTAGAGTGGTATCATCCCCATATCTGAGGTTGTTGAGGTTTCTCCTGCCTATCTTGATTCCAGCTTGTAAATCATCCAGCTCAGCATTTCTCATGACGTGCTCAACATAAGATTAAAGAAACGGTGACAGCAGACAGCCCTGTCATACTCCTTTCTCAATCCTGAACCAATCAGTTGTTCCATACAGTATGTGTTTCTTCTTGACCCACATACAGGTTTCTCAGGAGACAGGTAAGATGGTCTGGTATTCCCATCTCTCTAAGAGCTTTCCACAGCTTATCATGATCCACACAGACAAAGGCTTTGATGTAGTTGATGAAACAGAGGTAGATGTTTTCCTGGAATTCCCTTGGTTTCTCTATGATCTAGTGAATGTTGGCAATTTGATCTCTGGTTTGTCTTCCTTTTCTAAACCCAACTTGGACATCTGGATGTTCTTGGTTCGCATAATGCTGAAGCCTAGCATGCAAGATTTTAAGCATTTCCTTACTAGCATGGCAGACAGGTGCAATTGTCTGATGGTTAGCACATTCTTTGGTACTACTCTTTTTGGGAATTGGGATGTGGATTGACTTTTTCCAATCCTCTGGCCAGTGCTAGGTCTTCCAGGCTTGCTGACATATTGAATGCAACACTTTGATGGCATCATCCTTTAGGGTTTTGAGAAGTTCTACTGGAATTCTGTCGCAGCCACTAGCTTTATTAAGAGCAGTGCTTCCTAAGGCCCCCTTGACTTCAGTCTCCAGAATAGGTGGCTCTGGGTGGTGACCACACCATCGCAGTAACCCAGTACATTAAGATCTTTTTTGTACAGTTCTTCTGTATATTCTTTCCATATATTCTTGATCTTTTCAGCATCTACTAGGTCTCTTCTGTTTCTGTCCTTTATTGTGCATATCTTTGGGAAAAATATTCCCTTAATATCTCCAATTTTCCTGAAGAGATCTCTAGTATTTACTCTTCTGTGTTTTTCTTCTAGTTTTATACACTGTTCATTGAAGAAGGCCTTCTTGTCTCTCCATGCTGTTCTTTGGAAATCTGCATTTAGTTTGATACCTTTCCCCTTCTCCCTTGATCTTTGCTTCTCTTCTTTCTTTAGCTATTTGTAAGGCCTCCTACCACTTTGCCTTCTTCCTTTTCTTTTTCATTTTGATGGCTTTGTTCACAGCCTCCTGTACAGTATTACAGACCTCAGTCCATCATTCTTCAGACACACTGTTTACAAGTTCTAATCCCTTGAATCCATTTGTCGCCTCTGCTGCATTATAGTGGATTTGCCTTAGGTCATACCTGACTGGTCTAGAAGTTTTCACCACATTTTTAGGTTGAGCCTGAATTTTGCTACGTGAATCTGATGATCTGAGCCACAGTTAACTCCAGGTCTTGTTTTTTCTGACTATATACAGATTCTCCATCTTCAGCTACAAAGACTGTAATCAATTTGATGTTGGCATTGACCATTTGGTGATGACCATGCATTAAACTGTCTCTTGTGCTGTTGAAAAAGGGTATTAGTATCTCAATAATATGGAATTACTTACAAGGTCTCTGAGCCACTATAAGCACATCCTCTTATGGTACCACCACCACAATCGAAACAAAATCTTTTTCATCACCTGCAAAATTGCTTCTGGTGTTTTGTCATTTAACCCCTTAGGTCAATCCCCAGAGGCAGGCAACACACCATCTGTTTTCTTGATATATAGTTTGGACCCTCAAGAATGTGAAGTAAATGGAGTAGGAAGTAGGTCGACTTATCCATGAGGATTTTGTGAGGGAAAAGGATATATAGGTGACTCCTGGATGTGCAATGTCCATGTCACCTGATAGTGAAATGGGTTGATTGTTACCTACCTATTCGTCAGATTGAAGGCTTACACTCTCTATAATGTGTATATGTGTTGTCTGTTTAACTCATATTTAATTCAATGCAATTTCTCTTCTATGTTTGGAAGGGTTGTTTTATGAAATAGAAATGGTAAATCTTTTGAAAGAAAGTGAATCTTTCTTTGTAAAAGTCCTCCATCTGCATCTGAGCAGTACTTACCAGGACGTCAACATTGCACAAGCACAGGTAGAACAAGCACACTGTAGTCCTTCAAATGCTGCTCCCTGGGTCACACAGGGACAGTCCACCTGGCAACCCTGGCAGCCCCAAAGTGCCTGAACGGGCCTACCCATTGGAGGTGAGAGTGTCCCCACTTTAAGTCAGCTGAGTAGCAGCCTTTACTGCATCTGCAAGCTTAACCAACTTCTATCATGCAAAGGAACATTTAAGTCAACTGCAGGGATTAGGACTTGGACATTTTGGGGCATGATTACTGTGCCCAGCACACCCAGCGCTCTCTTCAGGGCTGACCTACTCTAAATTCTTTGTTTCTGCCAGTCTCCCTCAATAGTCCAGAGAAAGCGGTAGACCTGGGCTGGTGCTGGTGGGGTTGGGGTGTGATAGGGAGGGAGCGTCTTCCCTGGAGTTGGACAGGCAGCAGAACCAGGCAGGATGGGGTCTAGGGCTCTCCAAGGCTGAAGGGGAAAGGCAACAAGGGTGCACTGAATGAGGCCGGGCTTCTTCATTCCTCCTACCCCCTGGGGCCCAGATGGATTTCTTTAACCTATGCCTCAGGCCCTGCCACAGATTTTGCACTGGAATTGGAAGGCTTGGGGCTAAGCCAAGGCCCGTGATGTCTATGTTTCCAACAGCATTATAGTGAGATAGTGGGTCTGAACTGTGTGCTTAGAGGAGGGAAGGGAGCCTGGTAAAAAGTGAACGAGGGGTTGTGTTCACGCCCTCGCATCTTCACTTCCATGAGCTTCTCCACTTCCTCACCCTGGTGACCACAATCCCGGGCCCCTCTCTGCCCAAGGGTGGTGCTGATGCTGGTGCTGGACTTCTCCCCAGGCACAACTTACCTATATGTCTCGGTGGGCAGACATTTACTCACTTGGACAACAGCGAGATGGGCTACATCACCTGGCAATAACCAGTAGATTAGCTGTAAACAAAGTGATCAAGCCCACCTGCTCCGGGGAGGGGACTGAGTGGAAGGAGTAAGTCCCATGCATGTTCTTTTCTGACCCTGAAGTCTCTACTGTTCCAACCCACACATAGTCTGTCCACCTGGCCTCATGCCAAGAACCTGGAAGGGAATCAACGTGAGAATATGGGGGAAGTGATCCCCATTGTCCAGGTGCAGTCACTCCTAACATCACTTCCTCATGGCACCCTTCTTGCCCCTGCCTCAGGTAACTCATGTTGGGTGGTCTCCGGTTTCTAAGATGAGCAGCAGTATCCCTGGTACTCTCCAGAGCCACCCTTCCCATTTTCATTCATCCACACCCTCAGCAGTTGGCAGATATCATAGAATGGCAAGGTAGGATCCAGAAACTCCTCCAGCGACTCCAACTCTGTGAGAGTCCCAACACCCTGTCCTGAGGTTTGGTGACTCCTGCATCACACCCCTCCTACATTTTGGGAATGTGACAACACCCCTTGATTATTGGAGATCTGACCCTTGCTTCGGCTCACTCAGTGCCTTACAGAATCTGAACCAGTCTCTACTTACTTTTCTCCCTGAATCACATCCTTATGCCTCAAGGGCATTATCCTTGCTGACTTATGCACACAGAGAGATGTCCAGGCTCCAACTCCGAATGTGCTACCTACCATCATACCCCCTTCTGTGTAATAAAACCCTGGTCTTTCAGGAATGGTGTCAGGGAGAACCTACCCTCAGTTCACTCAAACACAGATCTGTCTCTCTGAGTCTCAGGCTGGCACAGGCCTGGAGTGCTGGCTGAGGGAAAGGAAGTGCTCCCCAAATTCCAGCGAGGGGGAAATTGAACACAGATTTCAGACTCGTTGTCATGTTCCCTAAAGAAGTAGTCTGGGATACTGAGCTGGGATACTCTGGGAAATATCATTTGTTGGAAGATCTGTGTCATGGGTCTGGTGGAACAGTATTTGACAGGTACCCTGCAAGAACAGAGACCTACTAACCACACTTGCCATAGAGCATGATGGGCCCATTTCCACTCAAGGGTAAAGAGAGGCTCAGGCTGGAGGCGAGGGTGGTCAGCTGGCTAGGGCAGGGAGGATGTGAAAACACAAAGGACGCCACCATCCATCTCTAACAGCCAGGGTGCAGTCTGACCCAGGTTGCCACCAAACCGATGCATCTCCTGACCTCCAGCCCAGAGACTAGCCTGTCTCCTGTGTTCCCTGTACCTTCCCTCCTGCTCCCCAGCTCACTGGGCCCAGGCTTCATGCCAAGTCCTTTACTGAATCCTGGCACAACTTACCTACATGTCTCGGTGGGCAGAGACCTCAGCCAGAAGGTCTCTGCCAAATTTACTCACTCGGACAACAGTGAGATGGGCTACACCACCAGTCAATAACCACTGGATCAGCTATAAAGTAAGTGATCAAGCCCACCTGCTCCAGGGAGGGGTCTGAGTGGAAGTTGTAAGTCCCACACATGTTCTTTTCTGACCCTGAGATCTGTGACTGTCCCAACCCTCGGACTCTGTCCACCTGACCTCATGCCATGAGCCCCAGAAGGAAGTCAACATGAGAACATGGGGGAAGGGTGGACCCAAGTGCACCCCATTGCTCAGGTGCAGTCACCCCTAACTCCCCACAAGTAAACCAGTTTGCCGGGATGGAGGGGGGGTTCTCCTGTTTCTAAGATGGGCAGCTATGTCCCAGGTACCCTTTCAATTTTCACTCATCCACGCCCTCAGCAGTTGGCAGACATCACAGTATTGCAAGGTAGGATCCAGTGCCTCCTCCAGCGACTCCAACATTTTGCTCCTCTTGCAGGAAGATATTGGGATCAACCTGTAAAACAGCAGAGTTAGGGAAGAGCCTCAAGCCAGGGCCAGCCCACAGTCCTGCTCAACAGCCAACGTTGTGGGAAGGGGTACGAAGTGTGTAACACTCACTTCAAACGATCTGGAACTTGTCAGCCAGGTACCGCATGGAGGCTGCAACAGGGAGAGGCATAAACAGGTGCTCCAGACAGATGGACACAGAAGCCTGAACCCCTGTCCCCATGGGGAATTACCTAGCCCTGCGACCTGAAACCCACTACCCCCAGCCCCGATGCAAAGATCTCTGGGCCTGATCACTCCCCACACCGGAATTAAATGTGGAGCCATTTCCTAAAAGGAAACAAAATGTGCCAGCAGCTCTCAAGCTCGGGGCCACGCCCCAATATTCAAAAATTGTCTCGCAAACAATCCAACAAGAAGACCCTTGGAGGCCAAACCAGACCAACAAGGCATCTCTACAAGTCCTATCAGAAGGAGCTCTCTAGGACTCATCTGGCTGGCAGAGTGTGCACGCAGTCCGCACAGTACTTTGCTGCTTGTCCACATCCCCAGCTGAACATGCACCACACGCTCCAGGGACAGGCTTGATAGGTTCTCCTCCCCACAGGAATGCTGATCCCTACGAGGCCCCATGCACCTGCAGCCCACCCCACCCCAAGGCCCCCCACACCCTGACTTCTGCACTAAGAACCCACTGCTCTCTGTCCCTGGTTCCTCATATCAAGTTGCTCCTTAACATCGTCTATTTCTCTCTGTAGCACCAGACACTAGGCCAGCAGACAGAGGAGAAAGAGAAATGGTTAGTATACACCCACCTCCCTGTCCTCCTCCTCTCTTCTCCCCCGGGCCCTCCATCCCAAAGCCAGGTGTCTAGACGGGCAAGTAAAAGACTTTCCTCAGTGGAAAGGAGGTGGGCTCCCTCCCTGTGGTGTGGGATGGGAATGGGGGTGGGGGGCCCACAAATATCAGTTGCACTTGGACCCAGATCCCACCATGGGGTTTGGGTGTGCATTTCCAGGAGCCAGAAAAGGCATTACCCGAGGACAACCCTGCCTTCCGCGTGGCTGCTGCTGCCTTTTCGGTCTTGGGGGATGGTCAGTTGGTTCCTGGTCACCTGACAGGGAAAGGACACACAATCCAGCTTCCCAGGTTCCCAGTGAGGTGGAAAGGCCCAGGCCGGGTCTAACGTGAGGTGAGGCAGTACCACCCTCTGCCTAGCATTAGGCCTCCCCTGCTCTGCCCGGCAGGCAGCCTAAACCTTCTCTCTGGGCCTGCCCCTCTTATTCTTCAGAGGCAGCCATTTCACCACAATGGTCGCCAAAGACTGTGGTTCTGGGTTCGTGCCTCCCAGAGCGGCAGCCACAACCAGCTCCTGGGAGACCAATGTGGGCGAACAGCACTTCATAGAAAAGGATATTAGCGTGCAGGTCTATGCCCAGAGTAGCTGTTGGGGCACTGCCAACGATCACCGCTGCCAAACAAATCCCACACAGAAGGTGATGGGGTCAGGACTAGCCCTGTTTACACACCCTGTTTCTCATGGGAGAAGCTGCCTCAGAGCAAGGTTGAGCCCCTAGAAGAGAGACAGAGTCAGAAACAGAGGTTTCTGTCCTCCCCCTGTCCTCCCTAACCCCAACATTTCAAACCCAGGACACTCATCTGAGGGGCCAGGCCCTCTGGGCGTGACTTCTACCTTGTTTATGGCCATGGGCTCTGAGTTTCCTGAATCCTGTGCACCTTTGAGGTTGAGGTTGGCACCGCTGGGTTCTCCATGATGCACCCATGGACAAGATGGCCCTGGCCTGTCAGTGGTCAGCTAAAAACAAAGATTTCTCACTGATCTGGAATAAGGATGTGTGTGTGCACACGAGCGTGTGTACCAGTGCATTTATATGTCTATGTCTGTCTGTGTGAGAGCTCATGTGATTCAAGACCGAGCTGAGGCAGGGAATTGGAAACAGAATTGAAAGGCTGATCTCTTCAGCACATTCTCTGTCAGTCAGCCCCAGGCCAGCAGGCCGAGCTGAGTTGGGAACAACAGTGTGGCACTGAGAAAGCCTGGGGCCCCTGCAAGGAAGGTTTGGGGAACAGCTAGGAAGTAGGATTCAGGAAAGTGATGCGTCTAAGCACCGAAGCCCTGTGAAGCTTTTAAGGGGTCCCCTCAAATCAATTCAGCTACCAGCTCTCCCTTCCACTCCAGCGGCAGCCTGGTGGAGGAGGCTGCAAACAGGCCAAGGGTGGAGAACTGAGTCCAGCACACCCAAAGTGCTACCTTATCGTTTGTCCCTAGTGAAAGGACCCCCAACCAGGCATCCTAATGACCCAGAGACCGAGGGCCACCCAATGACGACCCCTGAGGGATGGAGAGACGAGCAAGGGGCGAAGACCTGTGCCCTGGGGAGGGTGGGAGGGGGAAGAGTGGGGAGAGAGGAGGGGCCTGGCCTACTCACTTGGCCCTTTGGGAATGGATCTCTATTTGGGTCCTTCTCTTCTCCCGACACCGCCATTGCTGCCACCGACCCCCGGGCTAGCCGAGCCATGGGTTTCTTCCCAGCGCCAGTGTGCTTGGACTCTTCGGCTCCCCAAAGGACCGAGGCATACTTCTCGGACCTCCCGAGCAGCGGGATGCAGGAGATTGGGGGGAAGGTGACCGGTTCCAGGGGAGTGGCCGAGATTCCCTGCCCCCAGGAAGGGAAGGTTCTCCCCATGGAAGGTTTGGAGACGCCCCCAAGGGATTTCTTCTCCTGGACCCCCTTCCTCCTAGGAGTGGGCCGCGGCCCGCTGCCTGTAGCGGCATTTGCAGGAGCTGATGCTAATGCTACTCTCGGGTAGCTGGGCAGGCTGCCCCCTTCCCCCCAGAGCACGCTCTGCATTTTCTCAGTGGGAGAGGCATCCTCCTGCTCTGCATCACTCTGCCTGCCCTGCCTTTCCACAACAGAAATTAATCCTGGCGGAGCCGAGGACAGGCAAGTGCCTGACACATTAAGGAGATCCTCCCTGCCTTGGACATGCGAGCATCTGGGTGTGTTGCCGCGGTCCTCGGGTCTGTTGAGCTTGGCCTGGCCTCCGTCTTTGGGATAAATGCTAATCCTCATCAGCTCTATCTCACTGAACTCATCAGAGGACTCGGGATCGGACAGCAGCCCCGCTGGGCTTTCTGAGGGAGGCCACTGGGGATCCACAGCCACGTTCAACCTACTCTTAGTGCCTCTCTTAGCACTCCCGTGGGCCCGGCCCGCCTTGGGCCCGCCGACCCAGAGAGGGATGGCCTCAGCCTGTGCGGTTTCCCCACACCTCTGGGGGGCACCGCCTCGACTGGGGGGACACGCCTTGAGGTCCCAGAAAGCAGCCACTTCACCAACCACGTAGCTCTCCTGGAACAGGTATCTGCGGGTGCCCAGCGTCTGGGAAGCCGTTCCCGCCCTCACCCTCGCCGCTTCGTGGTGCCCCTGGCTCGGGGCCGGGGCCGGGTCCCCGCGGGGCTGTGGAGCCGGCCTCGAGGCTGCTGATCTGCTCTCCGCACTCTGAGCCGAAACCCGGTCCCGAAACAGACACCTCATCATCTGGGGCGCTCATGTCACGATCTGGGTGGCAGCCGGACCTGGGGCGGCGACGATTTATCAACCGGGTTGCGGTGGCGGCGGTGGTGGCAGCGGTCAGGGCAGGTGAGGCGGGCGGCGTCTGGAAGTCGCCGTCAAGCACGCAGGAGATGGCCGCAAATGATGCGAGGTTTTCAGCGCGCCGGCCCTGCCGCCTCCTCATTGGTCCGGTTCCTGCCAACCAGCACGCGCCTTGTTTGGCCGTCCCCTCGAGGTGTAACCAATGGGGTCGAGTACTCAGGGCCTGGGCTGGGGCTGGGGCCGGGGCCGGGTGCCTGCGGGGCTGTGAAGCCGGTCTGCTCCCCGCACTCTGAGCCGAAACCCGCTCCCGAAACAGACATCTCATCATCTGGGGCGCTCATGTCGCGAGATGGGTGGCTGCCAGACCTGGGGCGGTGACGATTTATCTGGGTCGCGGTGGCGGCCGTTTAGGCAGGTAAGGCGGGCGGTGTCTGGAGTGGTCAGTAAAGCACCAGCCGCACCACACGCAGGTAATGGCCACAAATAACGTGAGGCTTTCAGCGTGCCAGAGCTGCTGCCTCCTCATTGGTCCGGTTCCTGCCAACCAGCACGCGCCTTGTTTGGCCGTCCCCTCGAGGTGTAACCAATGGGGTCGAGGGCCTCCTCTGGCTTGCTGCCAAGCCCAAGGGCCATCCCGGCAGTTGGCGAGTTGGCGGGTGAAGGTGATCCTTCGAGTATACCTCTGTCAAGCCTCTCGTCCCACCTCCTCCTGTCCCACCTCCCCTTTCCGGTTAGAGTCACAGCCCTGAGCCCTGACTGTGTACAGAATGGGTGGGGCGGGAGGCAGGAGGGTACTGAGGGCGCTGGTCTCCTGGAAGGTGAGGATGAAACGTCACAATGGAGCCGCTGGGCGCCTAGCACGTGCTGAAAGCACTTTCCGGCCTCGCTTCCACCACAAGTCTTATGACCCAATGGGAGAGTGGGCAGAGGAATCCCGCACTCAGTGGTGAGTGGTCGGCGTACTTCTCCCTAAGTGGCCAGAGGACAAAGGGATTGTAGTTTTGTTCTGTAACATCTCTGCCTCAACTGCTCCATCAAACGTTCTTGGCAGGCAGATTTGAGGGACAGACTGGGGTTGACCTTGCTCCCTCAGCTCTTTTTCCAATCTGAGGCAATTGAAAGAAGAGAGAATCTCAGTGTCCAGTTACACTCGCAAAGGTGCTCATGACTGCTGATTCTGGAGGTGTAAACTAAAACAACTAATCAGGCTTCACACACTAGGAAGACCTTCCAAGAGGTTAACCATTCTGAGAATGGGAGAAGTTAGGAGCAACCCCCTGTGGCGTAGGTGCGAGAAATCTATTTGGGAGGTAATTTGGCAGACTCTCTTAAAATCAACTTATACAGCAGGACCCAGTGCCTGGCACTCTTCTAAGTGCCATACATAAATAGTAATGCTTCCTGGTGACACTCCTAGGACTATAGTACCAGTGATTACCAGACTCTTACAGGGGAGGAAACAGGTACTGAGAGGTTCAGTCACTAAACCAAAGTCATTTGGCCTGTGCGGATCAGTGGGAGCATTAAAACCAAGCAATCTACTCCAGAGCCCTTGCTTTGATCCAAAGATCTTAAAACTTAAAAAAAAAAAAGCTCCTTTTATTCTCTTCCAGCAAGTCTGCTACCTGGCACACCCTCTATAAGTGAGGGTGTATTTCTAAGATCTCTATTTTACTCCATTGGTCTATTTGTTAATATGGCAGTCCCACACAGTTTTGATTACTGTAGCTTTGTAATATTTTGAAATCAGAAAGTGTGAGTTCTCTACTTTTTTCTTTTTCCAAATTGCTTTGCCTATTAAAGATCGCTTTAGATTCTATTTAAATTTTAGGATGAAGTTTTCTTTTTCTGTAAAATATGCCACTGGGATTTTGATAGGGTTTGCAGTGTGTAGATTAGTCTGAGTAGTGTGTTAGAAGAACAGATCCAATGGAGTGTGTGTGTGTGTGTGTGTGTTTGTGTGTGAAAAAGAATTGACTCATTCAATTATAGAGGCTGGTAAGTCCCAAGATCTAGAGGGTGAGTTGGGTAGCTGGAGACCCAGAAGAGCCAGTGGTTTAGCTCTTGTCCAGGTTAGAAGGCCTAAGAACCAAACCAATAGAGCTGACATTTCACTTTGAGTCTAAAGGCAGTAAAAGAAGCTGATGTCCCAGTCCAAAGGCTTTCACGCAGGAGGAATTCTCTTACATGAGGAAAGTTTGCCTTTTTTGCTTTATTGAGACTATCAACTGATTAGGTAAAGCCCACCCACATTATGGGGGGGGGGGATCTGTTTTATCCAGTTTGCCGATTTAAATGTTAATCTCATGGAAAAGCACCCTACAGAAATACCCAGAATAATGTTTGACTGAATATCTAGGCACTCTGTGGACCAGTCAAGCTGACACATAAAATTAACCATCTCAGATAGTGTGGATCTCTTAACAATATTTAGTATTCCAGTCTGTGTAGACAGATGTCTTTCCATTTTTTTGTTTCCATTTATTTGTATTTCTTTTTAATTTCTTTCAGCAATGATTTGTAGTTTGCAGTGTATAAGTCTTTTGACTCCTTGCTTGAGTTTATTCCTCAGTATTTTATTCGTTTTTGATGTTAATGTCAGTGGAATTGTTCTCTTAATTTCCTTTTCAAATTGTTCTTTGTTAGTGTTTAGTGATAAAAATGAATTTTGTTTCCTGACTTTGTTTCCTGGAACTTTGTGCGTGTGTGTAATCTTTTGGGTTTTCCATGTACAAAATCATGCTGTCTGCAAATGGAGATAATTTTACTTCTTTCTGATTTGGATGCCTTTAATTTCTTCTTCTTTCTTAAGTGCTCTGGCTATGACTTCCAGTGTGTTGAGTAGTAGTGGTGAGAGTGGGCTTCCTTGTCTTGTTCCTTACCTTAGAAGAAGAGATTTCAGTTGTTTACCACTGAGTATGATGTTCATTGTGGACTTTACTTATATGGCTTTTATTATGTTGAGGTAATTTCTTTCTACTCCTAGTTCTTTGGGTGTTTTTATCATGAAAGAGTGTTGAATTTTTATGCCTCTATAGAGATGATCATGTGATTTTTGTCCTTCATTCATGTTAATGTGTTTTATTACATTGATTAATTTTTGTATGTTAAACTATCCTTGCATCCAAGGGATAAATCCCATTTGACTGTGGCACATAGTCCTTCTAATGTGCTGTTGAGTTCATTTTGCTAGTATTTTGTTGAGGATTTTTGCGTCTGCATTCATCTGGGAAACTGGCCTGTAATATTCTTTTCTTTTGGTGCCTTTGATATCAGGGTAAAATGAGTTTGATAGTGTTACCTTTTCTTCAACTTTTTTGGAACCATTTGAGAAAGATTGGTATTAATTCCTTAAATGTTTGATGGAGTTTTCTATTGAAACTATCTGTTCCTGTTTTTTTGTGGGGGAGTTAGTGATTACTGTTTCAATCTCATTATTGGTCTATCAGGTTTTCTATTTCTCCTTGATTCAGTTCTGGTAGATTGTGTGTTTCTAGGAATTTATTCACTTCTTCTAGGTTGTCCAGTTACTTCCCAAACAATGGTTCATAATGTTCTCTTATAATCCTGTTTCTGGGGCATTGGTTGTAATATCCCATCTTTTATTTCTGATTTTAGTTATTTTCATCTTTCTCTTAATCTATATAAGTATTTGTCAGTTTTCTTGATCTTTTAAAAAACCAAATACAGTTATGTTGATTTTTTCTGTTGTCTTTTCTGTTCTTTATTTTTTATCTCTGCTTTATTATTTCCTTCCTCTACTGGCTTTGGTTTTCGTTTGTTCTTTTTCTAGCTCCTTGAGGTGTAAAATTATATAGTTGATTTGTGATCTTTCTTCCTTGTTAGTGTACGCATTTATAGTTATAAACTCCCAGCATTGCTTCCATTGTACCCCATAACTTTTGTCATGATGTGTTTTCATTTTTTCTGTCTCAAGATGTTTTCTAATTTCCCCTGTGCCTTCTTTTCTGACCCATTGATTGCTTAAGTATATGTTGTTAAACTCTCATACATTTGTGGAATTTTCCCATCTTCCTGTGCTGTTGCTTTCTGGTTTCATTTACTGTGATCAGAAACGATACTGTGTGTAGTTTCAGTTTTCTTGAAGTTGCTAAGGCTTGTTCTGTGGTTTACCATGTAGTTTATGCTGCAGAATGTTCCATTTATATAGGGGGATGTGTATTTCACTGTTGTTGGATGGATTGTTCTGCATATGTTGTTAAGTTCAATTGGTCTGTAGCCTTGTTAGGTCCTCTATTTGCTTGTTGATCTACTGTTTGGTTGTTTTTATCCATTATTGAAAGTGGGATATCAAAGTGTCTTACTGTTATTGTGTGGCAATATATTTCTCCCTTCAAATATGTCAACATTTGCTTTCTATAGTTAAGAGCTCTGAGGTTTGGTGCCTAAATTTGTGTAATTGTTATACTATGTTGATGAATTGACCCTTTTAGGATTATATAATGTGCTTTGTAACTTATTACAGTTCTTTACTTAAAATCCATCTTATCTGATACTAGTATAGCCATTCCTGCTCTCGTTTTGCATGGAAAATCTTTTGCCATTCTTTCATTTTCAGCCTCTGTGTGTTCTTAGACCTAAAGCAAATCTCCTGTAGACAGTGTATACGGATTCTGTTTGTTCCCTAATCCTTCAGCAAATCTATGTGTCTTGGGAAGTTTAATCCATTTACATTTAAGGTAATTATTGATAGGATGGACTTTACTACCAGTTTGTATTTATTATTTTCCCTATGTCTTGTAGCTTTTTGTCCCTCCTTTCACCTCTATTGCTTTCCCTCCAATTTCATTGATTTTCTTTTTTGTAGTGATATGTATTAATCCCCATCTTATTTCCTTTTTTATATATTCTACAGATATTTTCCATGTGGTTTCCTTTGGAGTTATATAAAACCTTCTTAAGTTATACACTATTTTAAATGGCTGAATCCAGCTTCAGGAACATATAAAAACTGAATTCTTTCCCAACTCGCTCCCTTTTTATGGTATTAATAACATACATCTTTATATACTTTATACCCATTAATATAGGTCTATAAT